ATCATACTGTAATCATACTTTAATCGTACTTTACTCATACTTTAATCATACTTTAATTATACTTTAATCATACTTTACTCATACTGTAATCATACTTTAATCATACTGTAATCATACTTTAATCGTACTTTACTCATATTTTAATCATACTTTAACTATACTTTACTGGTGATTTAATCATATATTAAATCGTTCTTTAATCATACTTTAATTATACTTTAATCATACTTTACTCATACTGTAATCATACTTTAATCATACTGTAATCATACTTTAATCGTACTTTACTCATATTTTAATCATACTTTAACTATACTTTACTGGTGATTTAATCATATATTAAATCGTTCTTTAATCATACTTTAATTATACTTTAATCATACTTTACTCATACTGTAATCATACTTTAATCATACTTTACTCATACTTTAATCATACTGTAATCATACTTTAATCGTACTTTACTCATATTTTAATCATACTTTTCACACACACAGAAATATAGTCACAGTACTTGTTTGTTTGTTTTTAATTGAAGGGGGTTAGCTAAGCACACACACACAGAGGAATATGGTCACAGTACTTGTTTGTTTGTTTTAAATTGTGAAAAAATCAACATTAAAACAACCACAGACATATCATGGAACCTCATGTAAATTAAACTACCATTTCCTTCAGAAAACTGGGACGGTTCTATAACTCCAGTCACATAATAGAGAAACATTTGTTTCGCACATAAAAACAAACCATTCTAACTGAGCTCGCCACAAAAACGTGGTCAGAGAAAGGAAATTATGGTTTTCCATATATCGAAATTGTTAAAAACCAAAGAACACAGAAGACTTCTGTGTCTCCAAGCAGAGTGCTATAGTTCAGAAGCTTTCAATCACATCTCGTAATTAACAGTTGTTTTCATGACAAAGATAGCCGAAGAAAGTGGAATCACAACAATCCCACTGGATCACACGTCCGTCAAGTCCTCTGATGCTTTTCCAATGGACTTTTGTGCCCTTGGCCTGCTTAAGTGTATGCTTATAAATCGTCACCTGTTAGTCGATTAATAGAAATCCAAACAAGATCCAAAGATTGTAAGTGACCTTTTTTACAACTAGTCTTAATGATTAAAGTATGAGTAAAGTACGATTAAAGTACGAGTTGCTTAGCTAACCCCTTCAATTAAAAACAAACAAACAAGTACTGTGACCATATTCCTCTGTGTGTGTGTGCTTAGCTAACCCCTTTCAATTAAAAATAAACAAACAAGTACTGTGACCATATTCCTATGTGTGTGTGTGTGCTTAGCTAACCCCTTCAATTAAAAACAAACAAACAAGTACTGTGACTACATTTCTCTGTGTGTGTGTGTGTGCTTGGCTAACCCCCTTCAATTTAAAACAAACAAACAAGTACTGTGACTACATTTCTCTGTGTGTGTGTGTGTGCTTGGCTAACCCCCTTCAATTTAAAACAAACAAACAAGTACTGTGACTACATTTC